TGCATGTATGCATTATGTAGATATAAACGAGACGTGATTAGTGATAACTTCACCTCCATGCAGATTCAAAGCTGTTTCAATGAAGTATTGAAGGAAATCAAAGTTGCTGCGAATTTAAATTTTCTATATTTTTAAACAATAAACCATACTTATGGAGTCTAGTACACGTCTCACGACGTTATACATTAGTTATATGCGAGAGGGAAATTTAGTAAAAGATGCATGCATGTTATATGAGAGAGATTTAGTAAACAAGGAAGTGCATTGTGTTCCACTATAATAGTATACAGAGACCGTGCATGCGCAATTAGGAAAATAAATTCGCAAATTAAGAAAGAAATTCGCTACCCTCGTATACGCATGGAGTACCGATTCTTTTTTGTCATAGTGCGTTGCTAGTTACCTCAGTAGAGATGCTGTATACTATAATTTATAGTATGATATCATGTAGTGACTGAGCTATTGTCATTAATGCTGGTACGACAAAGGTTGCGCGAAGGGCCTGGTGAGGGTATGTACTAATTCCGCCTGGAGATTTTATTACGCGCCCGGGAATGCAAATATAATGCAAAATTAAAGTTATACAGTAGCACCCGCTAACTCGAACTGCCAAGGGGAAAGAAAAATTGTTCGAGTTACCGGGGGTTCGAGTTAACCGGAGTTGGTGTCAGATTACGTTTATTATAAGTAATGCAATGAGGTATAAAATCCAATCGAATCATTCTTCAAGAGATATCATGCCTACCAATATGAATGTTCACCGAGAGTGGACGACGTTTTAAAATTAAAAAGATCGAAAGAATATAAAATGAACTAAAAAAGCTGGATCAATAACAACCGTGGCACTACAGAAAGTCTTTTGAAATTTAAAATCAATTATACAATTTCATTAACTTGTTGCTACTTCGATAGTTTCCAGTTGTCAAAATGCTATCTTCTCACATTTTAAAGTTTGCTGATCTATGACTCGAAACCAAAGTTCGAGTTAACCGGATATATTTGATCAAGTCCAAGAGAAAACAAAATTTTGTTCGAATTAGCGAGGAGTTCGAGTTAAGCGAGTTCGAGTTAAGCGGAGTAAATTACTATAAAAAACACTGCCAAATTCAAGGGGAATAGGATTTAGTTCGAGTTAGCGAGGAGTTCGAGTTAAGCGAGTTCGAGTTAGCGGAGGACTACTGTAATTAAATTAAATGCGAAATTAAAGTTGTCCACTATAATGTCATAGATTTGATATTCCATGATGGCGGATAGTTGGATTCGACTTGCTTGGGCTGGTGATTATAACAGTCTCAAATTCTTTTTGAGTGATGATTTAAAACTATATGGTGACTGGAATCAACCTGGCGGGGATAAAAAAGTATTTACAGGCGATGATATTGTGATTACTTGGCGAAAAGCTAAGAGTTTGTTATGTTTTGAGGGTGGCAAATCTGCCGAAATTACGCGTGTATTTTGTACAAAGCTTTGTACTGGTATAGTCTGGTTATCTTGAAGCTGATAAAGTTTTCCATGACGGGCTTGCGTCTGAGCTAGCTATCTCACAGGCGTGCCAAACGGATACAACGTGTACGGATACGGATTTGTGTGTAACTGAGAAGGAACCGCTTAATACTTGCTTGAGTCGATGTATCTGTGAAACGCACATTGTGGGAGCTCCCACAAGTTTGTGTCTTACCTTACGCGGACTTAGCACATTGTGTGGCCTCAGAGCGAGTCCACAGAATGTTTATCAAGATTTTTCATCTGAAAATGAGGATCCTAATGAAATTTCCTCAATCGCATTGAAAAACACAACTCGAACAGTTCAGGACATATCAGAAAAGTCGAAAAAAACAAAAAAATAGCGAATTATAAGAAAAAACAAAGTCTTCCCACAATGACATTTCACAGGTTCAGTGTAAAAAATGTGTATAAAATGCGACTATCATTGTGGTAACTTGTACAAGAATTTTTCCATAATGTGGACTTGCATTTTATGTCCACACAGTGCTACACCTGTAATACACGAGGACCGCACAATGCTTCTGCTTTGTGCATGACTTATACACAATTTTATTCAGCTAGCATGGCAGTCATTAAGACATTATACATGTTTCGATCAATAATGAAATGCTGATATTATCTTCCCTCGCAGCATGCCAAAAGGGACCTTAAGCATGTAGGACGGGGGCACGACGACGATGTTATCAATACAATAGGTCACTGAAAATAAATAAATATTTAGCCCTATATTGTTGACGTGCATCTCGATTTCAGCGATTTTTGTTGGTCAGGATGATTTTTTGAGCACACGTAGCATAGTACTGCGGTTTCATCCTATACGAATGCGTAATATACGCGATCTCAACTCGGGAGAATTGACGATATAATATTGTATAGTTAATCATTATGTAAACAAGATTAAGTTTTTTGACGCACAATATTGCCATTACTATCTGGAAGTACTACGTGTATTCACTCACAGCGTTTTACTTATAATTTGTAATTCTAGTTGTGGGAGACGTAGGACGCAGTGAGCGGTACCTCGAATTAGGCTCTCAGAATTGTTCCCAAATATTAACACAATGTTTTCAACGTCTTATACCTGATTAAATTGATACGATTGATAATATACAACAACTCTTTACCATAGTATTTATTTAAAGAAATGTCTAAGTCGCGTCCTCGTTTTGCCGTCTTACATTACATGTACATGCTTAATAATGTCCCTAATATTAAATCCCCGAGCCTGTAGGAAGTGAAGCGCACTTACTTTAGTACTCTTGGCGCGTTATTTGATGAACGTCTTTTACTGCCCGGCGAAAATATTTCAACAGTCCGTACTGGCGCTAAAGTCAACCTAATGCTCATTGATCGTAGTATTTATGGTCGTCTATCAATGTGAATTTCCTTTTCATCGATCTTTTCAATCTGTGACTCGTCCAACAATCGTAACAGCTTCTTGAGAAAAGACAAATAATGTTTATGCGCCATTTTATAATAGTAGAAATAGTAGATATTATATGAATAAATCAATAAAATACAGTTGGAAATTTTGAACGGGACCGCTGTTGTCCGGTTACAATTCGGAAAGTGTCGGATGACACTCGGAGCATACTCGCACCTATATGCTCGCACCATCAATAAAAGATGATAAAAGACCTTTGTATGGTATTCTTCAGAATTTCGTGATATGGTAAACGGTTTATTCTTTTTCTTGCCGTTTTTCCGAAATTATCACCTAGTACGATATCAAACGGCAGAGTCAAAGACAAGGTTGACGAACCTGATCGATACAATCCAATGGAGGATAATATGTGTTCGCATTCATGAACTCAAAAATTATGAGATAATATATAAAAAGCTTGTCGCAAAATCTCCATTCCCGTTGGAAAACTAAAGAAGGGATTGTCCTGGACGAATTTAGCGGCTAATCATCTAAGAAATGAAGATTTTTATTCCCACAAGGTACATGTTGAAAGATAATTTTGAATTTTATTGTCAGAGGGTAAATTATAAGTGTGCATAATTTGTGCAATCGGGTATCTGAAGTCTGAACAAAAATTTATCGTCCCTATTGCCAGGTGCATATCACCTACGTTAAAATTACAGCGGAGGGCGGTTGCCTTTCAGTGATCTTTTCCTTTTTTCCGAGCTTGTTGTTGATGTACGTTCCTGACTGTTTGGTCTCGTGGGCAAACAAAATGGCTGCAGTGCCAGCTTTACCAGTACCTATTTTGATAGGCTATATACTATATAGTATAAGCCTCGTTTTACGCTACACTTATGGGCACGGCTAAAATGGGTACTCATGCTCATTTCACAGGTCTGTCTTTGTATAGGTAGCCTGAACTCTAGTAAAAATATAAAATTGGGTATGAGTACCCATTTTGTTGTGCTGTGCCAGTAAATTAAATGTAGTATAAACAGGGGTGAATTGTGTAAGAAAATAAAATAATTGTGCTACTACCAGTACTCTGTTAATTCAAAACCCTGTTTGATATCACAAATGTAATATTTGATCATTAATCTATTAATTGTATATTACTACTGCCTGCATTGCTGTCTTATTTTTTAAATCCAGTCAGTTTATTCACCCAAAATTCATCTCAAGCAGGCAGAATTGTATGGGTTTAGTCATTCGTCTTAAAGTATTTGTGCCAAAACAGAAATAGAGTGACGTATATTATTAAAAAGCACAAAACCTATCTGCCATTAATACATAATTGCTAAAAATATACCAATCTATAATTGTTTTCCATGAAAATCAAACTTAAATTTATTGAAATGTAAACTGGGCCTATATATACATCTATTACATAAATCAACTTATGACATTTTTAAAATTATACAATACATTATACAAAATTACATAAACAAAATATTTGTATTGAATCATGCTTTATGGTGTGAAAACCTTAGATTATATTATATATACATGTGAAAAGTTTGTTTACAGCTTGCACTAAATGCACATTGCATGTTATAACAAACAATCTGAAACAAACTGTGCAAAAATATCTGAACACAACTCAATGTCATAGTTTTCCCTTCTTAGCTTTCATAATAGCACAAGTGAATCAGAAGTATTAATTAATTAATACAGTTACCCAAAAGTTTTATTGCGACTCTTGCACAAACAATTTTTGCTGTCAGGTATGGTGCAGTTGTTTGTGTTATTTTTGTACATCATTAAATCATTGTTTGTCCGATGCTTAGAGCAGTCATGTTATATGTAGACAAACATATAACTATCCGACTTGCTGTCTTCATTTAGAACATGGCTAATGAATTGTTTAGAATCACAACAGAAGAAAATTGCAGCGAACATTTTAGTGAAAATTGTTTGTGCAACAAAATGGCTTTAAACTTATGTCTGTTTACAAATTAAGGTCTTACTGTACACTTTCACTAAATATGTCATCAGTTTCAAAGTCACTATATGTTGCAATAGTCCTTCTAAGGTCGTCGCTCCATAATTGTCATTGGAATCACTTTCAAAGTAATCTGAAGAAAAGAGATCCGTTTAATAATTAATATAAGACATTCTTGTTATGTTGAGGTTATAATTGAAAACATAAAATAATAGAATTGGTTTGACGTCTGCAGATTTACGACTGATTCACACGATGACGTCATTCAGTTTTATCGCTGGCCATTTGTTTCCAGCAAAGACAATGTTTCTTAGTTTTTTAACATTCACGTAGCAACTTCACTTCTATAATTCACGATCAGAATCAGAGCGGCATTAACGAGAATGCTGGTGAAGAATTTGAAATTGCATTCTGGCTAAAATATCATATATAAAGAGGCAAGTTCAACAAGCTGCGTTCTGCTCTGAATAAAATATAAAAGGATTCAAACTTGTTTACTTCTTTTTCACGGTGTAGTTTCTCACATAATCCTTCACGTTTGTCCATGTTCTGTTTTGTACTATCCCGTGATTCTCCTCCAAAAACTTAACACACTCGTTTTTTTTGGGTAGCACTCCATTTTGAATGTGTTTTTGGAATGTTTTCAACGCTGCCTTTCTTTCTGGGGTTGTCCACGTTTTCTTCGCCACCATCTTTCGTTGCTGACCTATATAAATTATAGTAAATTCATTATAGACTGTATGTAATACAAGTTAACATAGTTAGCTATTGACCTGGGTAAGTTAAATTCGTTAATACATGATTATGGAACGGCTGACGGTCTTTCGTCTAGTTACGACTTATGAGTGACAAAATTGATTGTTCGTTACATATATATCAGCTTACCCGGTTGATAATTCAAATGTAAAGTCCATAAAAGTATTATGCCACTAATTTCTGCTGATAAGTTATTTTCATTTATTCTCTTTGTAGATCTTGTAATGAATGATCTTTTCCGAGATTTGTGGAAAAAATATTTGTATTCTGTTCAGCATGTTCCGATTTTGTATAAAGACAAAATATATCCGAGACAGGCGCGGAGAGTAAGTACAAATACTGCTCACTATTTCCAAAAGGTTATTCAATTTTTGTACAGTGCCTTAAGTAACATAATGTGGCAATAATAGCTTCAATTAACTAGGTTTGCCCTTTGCAGAATATAATCTGCCTGATTATGCATGATTTACCCTTCAAAAAATGGTCTGTGCCTTGTGCACAAAAGAAGGCCAAAAAATATCCTTAGCAAGACGTGGGATAGACCAACCTTACTCTATTGCCGAGTCTATAAAACAAATCTTCGCAGCATGCGTTTGCATGGGTATGGACTGTTGGTATATCGTTTTTAATTTGAAACCTCTGAGCATATGACTCTTGACCACGCATTATGATATGTTAATATCCACATTTTTCGGACAAATAAAAAAACTTTAATTCGTGCATGTGTTAACGAGTAAATATTTGTGATTTACCATATATGTGATTTACCAGATTGGAGGTCCGCATAGGGAAATATTTTCCAAGGTCTCAAAAATAGCTACTATACATATATATGATAAGCATTCATGGACTGCATGCATTCTATGTTTAATATTGTGAGAGTTACGAACTTTTCTGTCGCGAATCGGCTGCATGGTTTTGCTTTGTGCGTTAGATAGCATGTTATTCGAAGACGATAAAGAATTGATAACGATGCAATAGCAGAGGTGAAATTTAATGAGAGCAAATTTACTTAGGCCTGAGTAAGTGTCTGCTTCGTTCCTCAAGTGTTTGTCATTATGTTACAGTCAGTGTGGTTAACCGTTATACAAATTCATGCGTCACTGATGATGCAGAAATTAAAATTTTTGCAACAATCTTACCTGCCTCGAGGGTTCCCCTTTTCTTGTTACAATGTTTTTTAGACTTTTCAGTGGACTTGTTCGTTCCTAGGGTTAAAAAGTTTAAAACTGTCTAGCATTGAAAATTTAAGCCATTGAAAATCCCATACATGGAGATCTTATATGTAATATATATTGATTTTCTGTTTTAGAAAATATTGAACATTGCTTGGCTGAAAACAACCTGGTAAGTGAACTGATGATTTTTTTGCCAATTTACGTGCGCATCATATTGGCTTCAGGCCCTTATATTTTTTCGGATTGGATTTCGGACTTCTTTGTATGTGGGGATAAAGATTGACTGAAATTAATTGCAATTATGCAATGTTTATTTCGCTCATAAAATGGTATTTATAGTAGTTATACTATAAGACAATTGTACCACTTGCTCGCAAAGCGATTTATTGTTTGAGAGCAATTAATGTTAGTAAAAGCCACATATGTAGCCTTACCCTTTTTGGTCGTTGTCCTTTTGCCAGCAGAAGTTAGCGATGGCGATGTTATGTTGCTCTGGGGGAATCGGTTTTCTACAATATATATATTGAGATATTTAGTAACATAGAAAGTGCAATTTAGCAATTTTCTGACTTCAGCTTAAAGATTTTGGCCTGAAGAATTTCAGGAATACGTATAAAATATATGCAGTATAACACACGGTTGTTGAAGGCTTTGTTGGGTATATAATATGCTGTTTGAATTAAGCAACTTTACCTGTCGCAATGAACCGAAGGTTGATAAACTTTACTAACGGAGACCCAGAGACAGAGAGAAACGTGCCTTACTAGCGTTCGTATCAACGCGCAAATTCAGTTAAGAAAGTTACGAAGTTTATTTAGATCCGGATGCCGGCTGAAGCTATAACCACTAAGGGTACATGTAGTTGCCTATAGGATTTGCATATAACCTGCCTATATATAGGTTTTGTGTGATGTATTAATGTTCATAAATTGTGTCTCCAAGAGCCTGTTAACTGAAATTGAACAGTTTTATGTCACATACACAATATATAATATATATATATATATATATATAATATATATATATATATATATATATATATATATATTATATATATATATATATACTGTGTATCACTAACCGCAATATTACAGCACCTGGATCACACCACCACTGGAATTGGTATAACAGTGTTACTTAGAAATATTTACCTTTATCTAACTCAGACCTCGGCATCCTCTTCACTCTGAGTATTGTGAAAGTCTGGAATAAGATAAGAAATTTTAATTCTTCTTCTTCACATATTCTTATCATTACCTATACTAATCAGTTAATGTAAATAATTGTAAGTTGTCTGCCGTATGGCGGCGCTTATTTTGGTGTTTGATGTAATAATTTTATCATTCTGACAATACCTTGAAGTGTAATGTCCCGCAGGTTTTTCCCTTTAAATTCGTGTGCCCTCCCTTCATCGATGGCCATTAAGAGGTTACCAACTACTGCCATCTCAAGTGTGCTTTCTTGCATCCTGTAGAACTCTTTATGGATGTGCACGTCGTGGCCAAGATGAGTTGCCAGCCATCCCAATTCATTTTGATCCATGTCAACGAGCTGCGACACAGTTGCCACATACTTTCGGAGGTTGGTTGAAGTAATCACGTCGGGATTTTTAAGATCAACCATTTTACATGCATGACGTATAACATCGTTCCCTCGTAAAAACTGTTTTGAACTTCCGTCATTCACTGCGAAAACATAGGGATTTTCTTCGTTCACATTCCCATCTTCCCTTGTCCTGTTCAAGACAAGTATGGCAGCTTTTACATCAGGTGTCAGCAACACGGGAACTTTTCTGTTTCGTTTTCCAAGAATTTCCACCATGTCAAACCTAGAGTTTAATTTATTTTAGGATAATACGTCAGGTTATATAATGGGACTATAAGTTTCAACCTTTCTGGACTGTCACCGTTATACTATTATAGGTTTGCCTTGTAATGAAGCGCGTAAGTTGTTTTTCCGGTTTTCTCTACAATTAACATTATGCTGACTTATATAGATAATGAAAATGTAGCTAACTTTATCACGTACCGTTTGCAGAGTTCTCTTTCAGTGGCTGAAAGGGCAGAAACTATTTCCTCGTTGTGAATGTTGCCCCACAAAGGCCTCCCTTGGAAAGCATCGAGTTTCATTCGAGAAGCCTCCCCACCTGTTAACATGAAGTTTATTTGTTTAGTATAGATACATGTAACTTTGAATAATTTAATTATTTATCTGCCAAAGCTTATTTTTTCGCATTTAAAAGAACGCGAAAGTCATTTACCACAAACAAGTACATGTGATATCCAAAAGTAAGAAAGGTGAAAGTATATGTTTTGAACAAGGCAAAAATGATTTTTATTGCCCTGTCCTTTGATAAGATATTATAATATAAAATAATAGCATTGAATAATATCAGTCTCCCAGAACATAAACATGAGCGTTTTGGTACCTCTCCGTTTATTGAACATAATCAGTCTTGCTAAGGCTGAATTAGCAAGTTTCCTCCAATTTTCTTGCATAGGGTTTTTCTTCACATCCTCGCTAAGTTCCAAAATCTGCTCGTTGAGGAAAGTTCGCAGGCTAGTAGGTCGTTTGTTATTGGCAGGAGTTGTGGCTTGTTGTGTTTTTTAAATGACAAATTATCCAGGGCTTGAGATGTTACTTTGGCGCTCCATTCTCCCTCGTACAGCTCTAGGAACAGATCGACGTCGTTTTTTGCTTCCATGTCTTTTCTTCGCAATGCCTGGCCTTTTACTACATACGCCGCTTTTTTTAAGGCATATCCGCATTTGGCAGCTGTCGACGGGGATTTGAAACGATCCGCACTGGTGTTCGGTGCTCCTGTGTATCCACCAAGATATCTTGCGCTGGCAAGATGGTTATCAAATTGTGCTGGCGTCAAACTCTTCTCAAGCGATAAAGTTGGAACACAACATAACTCTCTAACCTTTATGAGCAATCGGGCAAGAATACGCATTTGTTGTGAAACTTCCACAGCTTTTTCATTGCCGCGTTTCTCTATTAGTGTGGAGCCCACCCTTAGGATTGTTTCATCAGTTCTGACTACAGCGCTGACATCATCCATCGCCATTATTGCCAAGACGTTATCTGATAGTTGTTGACTAGCACCGGATGGAAATTTATTTGCTGCCAACAACAATCTTCCCGCATGCTGCAGCTTCTTGGATTTCATGGTGTGGTTTATTTCTTGAGCGAAAGGACATTTTGGGCAGTGTCGGTATAGATCCTTTTTCTGGAAGAAACCATGACAAAACTGACAGGGCAAGTAATTGGAGGGGTCTTTATCTTCGTTTTCTCCTGGTCTCCGCATTACCTTTAGTTCACCTTCATGAACCTCCAACACTTTCAAGTTGTGGTTAAAATTACCAAGGCGACACAATTTGTCTAGTACCAACTGGCGCGTTCTGTCGTTTTTTTCGAGAGCTACAATTTCTGCCACTTCTTTTTCATTTTTATGGACTTGGAAGAGATGTCGACCAAGCTTGCCAAATTCCTTCTCACAAAAGTAGCAGGCATTTTTTTTGTCGTATACTCTTCTTCCATCTTTTTCACTGCTTGACATTATATACACTACATGCAGATAAAAAGAAAGATTGATCAACAAAGAATTTCTTAAAATTTCTTGACTACGGCGCTGACATGACAAGACGTTATCTGACTGGTTGGAAAATTGTAAGGACTTGGACTATGTCTATATAGAGAGGATTGCAAGCATCAATTGACATGCACTATAAAATTAATTTACCTCCAGATTTCTTGATTGCTTCACTAGCGCTGCTGTCAGTTCTTATTAGGGACTTGTCTGTTCCATCTAAGAGATTTGAAAAATATTTTCCGGTAAGGTTAGAACTCATTTTTGAATCACGGATACTCCGTATAGGAGTATCAGGGAGGCATTTCTCGCATTCTTTAGTACCATTTACTCGGCCAACCTGCATTGCGCGCTTAGTATTAACAACTTGTTTATCTGGTTAGTCTACTAGCCACCAATTAATCGGCTATTCGTGCATCCGTGAGTCGTTTCATTGAGACGTTTGATTTGTAATTCTTATAGATTTAGCTAGTTTAAGACATCGTACATTTACTGTCTTAAACAGTTTCTTCAGAATTGCAAGAGATAAATAAGCAATATCCCGATACGACTTATAGCTATGTGGTATTTTTCCCTTGAATATTTCTTAGCGTTTATAGTTTTTATTCCTACAATTTTTATATATAAACTAGCATGTGTACCTTTAAATGCATACTCATCGTCATCTTCAGACTCAGAATCTTTGTCTAAAAAGAAAATATTAAACTTAGGCTTATTAACCGACTACGACGTCTGTGCGAAAAGTATTTTGCCCGATTTTTGCGATACACATGACCTGATGCATACCTTCTTCATCTGTGCTAGGTACATACTCGTCACTGGAACTTTGGCTCTCTTCCTATATAAAATATATTTAGTACTTTTTATGTTGTAATTATAAGTTGCATGCACTCGCTTTCCATTTTTGTACCATATTCTTTTTCTCGTGCATATTTCTAAAATATGAGCTCAAAATAGAAAGGCAAAATGCCCAAAACGCGTTAAAATACCTCAATTTTAGAATTAGGACCTGGCCAGTTTCGTTTGGATGAAGTAAATTATCTGCAAAATAGAGAGAATAATGCATAATTATATAAACCGACTTCACGTAAGGAACAAATTCGGGCAGGGAATACTAGCACTAATTTATTAAAACAAATTAAATTGACAAGGAATAGCTAGGTTAACCTTACAAATAGTTGTATAATGCGATATTCAGCATTGAGTGCAAAATTCTCAAAAATTCTATTTTTGTTGTTAATTTCATTTTTTTTAATTAACTATTATTATGCTACTCAAGTCAGAATGTTCTTTGCGCGTGTCCTATTTATGATATGGTAAGCGATCGGAGTGAATGTCCTGTGATATTAAATATGCAGCACTTGTCTCTTGTTGTTCTTTGTTCTGTCTTTAAACCAAGGATTTTTTGTCAAAAGGTATATAATTGATATATAAGTGCTAGAGCGAATATAAATTGGATAAACCTAAAGGAATTTTACCGAATGGAATTTTTTCAATTAACTCACGTTCACTCACCCGTATTCTGGCATTTGAAACACCTTACTTCTTGCCCATAGCCTTCTGGCCCTATTCCAACACCGCAAAATACATGGACAGCACGATGACATGATGCGCACATATGTGCCCCCGATACCTCCCCAAAGCAAACATGGCACTGATCATCTGTTATATCTAAAGTTTGAAATTACATGTATACTACGAAGTGCAAAAAATGTCAGATTGTTTATCTTTTTTAGTCAAGTTACAACGTTTACTTACTGGTAATCTGCATGGAATGATCATCGATCTCCATGGAAACTATAGTAGATTCATTATGGTGTTCTACATGTACGTAAACATTTATATTATATATTTATATATTGAATTATATGAATTATGTACATTACCTTGTACCAGCTAATCACATGCACTGATGTACCGCGTAAGAATAATTGCTTACACTATTGAATGTATATACTCCGAATATATTCAATTCCCGTGGTGTAACGTTGATGCAATAATCTTTGCTAAAGAGGAATATATAACTATAATTTATATTCTTGTATATAACTTACTCTGCTGGATTTGCCCATCAATTTCCATGGAAAATTCTGCACCGGTAGCAGAGTTGTCTTTTTCTTGTTCTATATTATAGTATATAAGCATAAACTTTTTAATGTATGATACATATTCCTAAAGGAAAACATTTTATAAATAACAATATAACGTATATCTTAGGAATTAAACCGTTACCATAAGCTTTCGATCAAACAATACGTGTAACGTAATTTTTTAATGCCATATTGTGAATTGGCAGCATGCAGATATATAAGTTATAGTTGATGTGCCGTTATATTTCATATGTATCTGGTATAGAAATGCATATAATCACATTTGCATGGGATTTCAATCAGATTACACAACATATGCAATTCTAATTAGATTTCGAGTATCTATCTATATATCTATCTGCGGCCAACGTTTTTGCAAACGGGTGTATATATATATATATATATATATATATATATATATATATATATATATATATATATATATATCTTGACTGGTTTAAAACTTGTTGAGACCTACCAATGACACTTTCCTTTAATTTCTCTTGTTTATCAATCACTGACAGTGCTTTATAATTGTGCAAAAAAGTAATGGCAGTGTCATTATAAGTTTATTTTTTACTTATATAGATTTATATAGATGGTATACGAGACAAATATCAAGGGAAGATAGGGTGGCTACTTTTTGCGGATTCGTGAACAATGATATTGTCATTATTGTGCACAAGACACAAATATATGGCTGCGTTTATTTTTTCGCGTTTTCCTGTGAATATAGCTATTTAGCTATGCATGACTGCCACTCATTTCTGGCTTCAGCTAAGGTGGCTACAAATTCCCCTTAAAAACAAATGTTTATAGAATGCATTAAATGTACACTTTTTACTTACATGTAATCTGAGCGTAGTCATCTATTTCGTTGGAAACTGTCGCATCGTCATTTTCTTGTTCTACATATATGAAGGTAAATTTCAATGAAAATTTCAATACACAACTACTAAGGCTAACCAGAGGTCACACTATATAGACGGGAGTTATAATCAAAAGGTAACGGGTGCTATAATTTACGTTAATTTTTGTGGACATACATGATGGACCTTTCATAATTAAAATCGGTTTGTTTTGTTAAAAACTTTAAGCCTCTTCAAGTTGGTCATTCGAGGTAAAGCAGACATACTAATGTGAATGCACGAATATTTGGATCATTTTCTCGTTAAGCTGTGCATGCAGTATACATGCAGCTATACTTTGTTTTTAAATATTAAACTGATTTCTTTTCATTAGTTTATTTTGCCTCGTCAATTAAGTAGCCGTAGCTGTTCAGAGTTAAGAGAACGTTACATTTATATCATTTTTCTGGAAGAAATATTTTCACATCCAGTTTATATTCAGGGCATGGCCGACGGATTTCTTTTGTAAGTGTTACAAAAGAAATCCATCGGACAGAAATAGATATCTGAATAAACAGCCTCGCCCTCCGATTCTCGTTCTAGCTACGCCCCTCTTTACATCTATATACAGTGGCGTAGCCAGCCTGACGATTTAGTCATGCTACGCAAATTTTATATTATTATCATTATTCATTTCCTTAGAAATTCATTGTTTTCACAGTCAATGAACACCAAAATATTAGCATAGCATGACTAAATTGTCGGGCTCGCTACGCCACGGCATATATACCTGTCCGAGAATGTATATTATAACGTACATTAAATTTACAACACTTACTGGCAACCAGGACATGATTGTCTGTTTCCAAGGCGACAGACTCGTCATGGGTGTAGGCTTCGTTACATAGTTATAAAAATATTTCAAATGAGCACCCAACAATTAACAACAACTAAATGTCACCTCTGTATGAAATCTCTATGGCTAACAGCAATGGCTTGCTTTTTTATCAACTTATCTGATATTGCTTAGTTTTACTGCATGCATGAAAGTAGCTGCTGCCCTTGTTTTATTTTTTTATATATTCCTCAGATACAGGTTAAGAAAAGTTTCAATTGTGAAATTACATGAGCAATCACATACGTGTAATGACATAATCCTCCAAATGCCTTTGTGGAAACACAGGCGTGACACACGAAATATTACTCTGGTTGTTCGCTTGGCCTGCAAACGTAGAAAAATTTTATTAATGCTACTTTAACTGCATCTAGGCGTAAATGTCGTGCATTAAACTAACAACTACTTACTAGTAACTTGAGCATGATCATCAATAACCATGGATCCGAGGGGAGTGTCCTCATTTTGTTGGTCTACAAATCAGCGTATTTTCAATAAGCTTTTACAGAAACTAAAAGTCTTGTACCAGGCAATGTTCGTTATAGCAGGCACGCCGCAACATCGATAATTGGGGAGGCATATATTCATATATATTCGAGTTCTGCATTATTGCTTTCTTTTGAAATCGATTGTTTTTACGGTCTGTGAACTTGAATATATGAATATATATGCCCCCCCCCCAATTATCGTCTTTTATCGATCTTCCGGCGTCCTCTGCGTTATAGTTTATACTCACTGAATGCTACTTAAAAACAGTTCATTGCATTGTTTTATTATCGAAATATGAATATTATAATAATGATATTTTGCAATATTGAGTTTGACTATAATCTTCTATTAGATAACGTTACTACAAGATTTTACAGTACCCCGATATGAAAATAACGCCCTAAGGCACAAGGAGAAACCATGGGTGCTCTATGTGAACTGGGACTATAACTTGGTGGTCACCTTTGAAGCCAATTAGGAACCATGGTGCCATGAAGTCTATTTTTATTTTTTGCCTTCACGGCTGGCGATCGGTGCATGACGTAGCCAGAACATTAGTTGGGGGGGGGGCATATTCATATATTCACGATACGCAGGATTAATTTCTTTTCAAATCAATCGTCTTTACAGTCTTCTAACATGAATATATATATGAATATATGCCCCCAATTAATGATGCTGGCTACGCCACTGCTGGCAATCGCACCGAAAAAGAATAGAAAGGGACTCTGGTGCTCAATTCGGCTTCAAATTGGCTTCAAAGATGCATGTTTGCTAAGTAAATATAAACTCTATCTTTTCAGTTATTCTAACCAACCTTTGGCACTTTCATTTGCCTTCTCTGCGATCGTTAGCCCTGTGAATTTTTCTCGTTTGTGTTTTAATCGGTCTGTAGGGTATAATGGTTAATTAGAATTATAATAATTTGAATCCAGTGGTCAATTTTTAAAAAAGTATAAGTTTTCTTCAGACCGTATAAAATGGTTTGTCAAGTTTGCTAAGTTTGTCACTCATTTCGGTTGAGCTATAAAAGACATGCAAGTTTAATTTATGTCATTTATATACCCTTTTGAATTCGCCATGGAAGGTCCTTCACACCGTAATCGTAGCGTAACTCTTCGTTTTTACATAGATCCCTCTTAGCATAAATTGCCAAGTGAGGTTGACTATTAATGATGAGTCTTTTCATCAGACAATTCGCCACTCTTGCCTCGGCATCATTAACCAGTCTTCCAAGTCCGTCTGAATGAGTTGCATCGACACTGTAATATAATTTTAGTTAATATACATAAGAGTCCATAGTTGGAATTTTGTGTGTATATAAAACTCGTTTATAGTAACACGCATTTCAACCCGCAATTGTACCAACTGCTGCTAAGGCGTATCAATGCATCAGAATTCATAAAGATATCATGCAGTGAAACAAAAACTAAACAATTGTATAAGTTCATTGAAGATTGATTAATTTTCAACTTGGACATCTATAGTTCAAAGTACTATAATTGTGCTTGTGCATCTGAGGCATTTACCGTGCATAAGAACAATGGAAGTTTTTTGGAAGAAAATAATTATTATCCTGCCGAAATGATTGCACTAGTTGAAAGACTGGATTTTCAAATAAAATGACCTTATTTCGACCTTTCAGGAGAATTTGTTTATAGAAGCGACATTCTTCGGCTCCAGGCCGCGTAGGTGTAGCACTTTCAAAAAGAAACACCTAAGCCTGAATTTAAAACAGTCACAGCAAACATGACGATCGAGCCAATGTAGTAATTTAGGTTCAACGAAAGAGCACGTACAATACTCATTGTTTAAAAATATATTTCAAGCAAATTATTCAAACACTTATTAAGGGCTGCCTTCCACTGTCTCGTTTTTTTACGCGCAGAAAAATTTAAATGCTTCCAAATTTTGATTATATTTAACACATGGATCAACAATTGCATACTAAAATATACGGAAAACTAGGTTCTTTCGATATATTCATCTGGCTTTATGACATATATAAGGATTTAGACTTTTACGTGCGTGTACGTGCGTATGAAAATCGCGTAAGTGAAAAGCAGTCCTAAATGTTGAAGCAGTGCTTGGATGGACGTTATTAGCCTGAACATACCACAATGAGGCATTTCCTTGTTGGAAAAAGAAAAGAAAGCTTCCAAGGTCGTCAGGGTAATTCTTCTCTCTAATGTAACCTTCCTCTTGAGAAATTAATTCCCCTTTGTATTCTAGAAGGAAATCCCCTTTGGAGAATGTTTTTGTGGTAAAAACTCCTCGACCTGAAAAATGGAATAATAAAATGGAAAAATAGAATGACTTGATAATTATATGTATAAAGTTTATGATATAAGCGTAGCTGGCAATTGCTATATGGGCCGGTCTGCCGGTCAAGAAAATTAAATTATACTGATTTAGTACCGATATCATCATCGATGTATCTTTCCTCGAGGTGTTCTTCGTCTTTAGGTAGGGAGAATTGTCCTTTTCTCTATAAGATATAAAATGCCCTCTTAATATTAGGCTGCAGTAATCGCAAATGCGGCGCGCTCATTTTGGGGTGGTGCTCAATCTGGGGCGGTATAGGATATTAAACGGTTGCAAGAAAATATGGGTTGTGTGTTCGAGTAGTAAAAACGAGTGAGCGCATGGAATGAGTGAGATTTTTTTTGACAAGAGAACATATGAAAAATCCATATCTTCCAGCGAATGTTCCGTTTATTATGGACAAAAATGAGAAGAAACTCAATAAATTATTAATAATAAAACAAAACAAAGCTGTAAAACAAAAAACACCCATTACATATTTTTTTTTATTTTTCACTGGTGAAATATGGAAAATATGAGTGTTATACGGTAGAACACCCATGCATGTCCATATAATATAAATACTTTTATTTTAAACGCTACCTTGTTTCTGCGTGTTGATCGCATTCCTTGGTCGTCTGACATGGTTGGTCGTTTGGCAAGTTCTTCACAAAAACACCAAAGGCAAATGGAGTTTTAAATTAGAAAATTTTGGGAAATGGAGTTTCTAAATTAGAAAACGTCAACTTAGCGATTCTAAGTTATAGAAATAACATGCTACCAAAGTTAACAGAAATGTTTACTAGGACAAATTCGATACTTCATTTAACATTACCTAATCAATTAAAAATAAATGGAAAATTTGCCTACGGGGAGTTGTGGCTTGGAATGACCTTCCGCTGCAGTTTAATCATCGAAAATTGTTCGTATATATATATATATATATATATATATATATATAATATATATATATAATATATTATATATATATATATAATATATATATATGTATGCATGATCTCTAACTTCCAAATTAGCTAAGTAGCGAATATAGACTATATATATGAATATTGCAGTTCAATTTCCATTAATACTTTTTTATATAGTTTATGAGATAAAATATAGTACATTTTTCAACTGAAAAATAAAGTCAATTAAATGAAAAGTAAATAACGCCTTAATCAGCTCCCACATGCGCTTGACCTATAGATAATTTGCGACGAATGAATATACCGCGGTGACAACTGCTTCGGTGATTATAGCACTGTATTTTATTCATTTTGCAAATGCACGATAAAAACAAACCTTTAACGAAATACTTTGAGTAAATAAATATTTGAAACTGAACGAATAAATGTTCGTTTTTTGCTTGAAACACACATGAAAAATGGAAATATAGAATGTTCTATAGTTGAAAGCTTCGAATTCGAATATCCAATATATAATATAAAACTTCTAATAGACAAATTCGTTGGAGCATTTATTATATATGTTTATATGCAAGTGTTTATATGAAAGGTTTTACACTCACCGCCTCGGTTGGTAGGTGGGGGACATCCTGTTTACCAAAGAGGATAACCCTATAGTGCATGGTAGGGACAACGTTTATCCATGTAAACACCTTGTCTCGGCCTCCGGGACTAACTTTTCCTACCGGTGCCTGCGCAAAAACTAGGGGATAGTAAACGCTTGGTAAAGTTGTCCCTATACCCTTGATCATGTACAGCCCTTAGTGCTACGAAATGGAGGGGTTGTTTCCAATTAATAGAAAACATATTTTTCATTTTTTTTTACTTTTGGAAACTTATGACGGATTTGCTAATTAAAACAATTTTTATGGCTTTGCCGTTTTGGTTTTTGTATCTGCGTAGCAGATATATTGCTATCGTCTTGTTCACTGTTCACTGTTCACTGTTCACTGTTCACTTCTATCCAATAAACGGCTAGTATTATGAAAGATTACGTCAGGAATGCTACGATGCCCGTTCGCAGGCTGAACAGTAAACACATGGAAACGGGCAGAAAGCAGTGATTTCAGTGATTGTATTCGATTCTATAATCTATAGCTCAGTCCTGATTTTTATCTGTCGTTTTGGCACTTTTTGCTTGGAAGTTGAAAAGGCTTTTGATTTTGTAGCAACTAGGAACGACCGTATATCCTGACATAGTAAGTATTTTAATCATGAATTCTAATATTTTAACCAGTGCGAATGACGGTACTTCTAGTATATTTTGTGAGTTGCATGGATCGATAATTTATACTTTACGAAAGAATCTACGTCTTAGGGCTAAACCATTTCAGAGGACTTATGAACCTCTTCGGAGGGCGAAACAACCTCTTCGGAGGGCAAAACAACCTCTTCGGAGGGCAAATCAATCTCTTTGGAGAACAATTGAACAATCTCTTCGGAGATCAATGCAATTAGAATCTCAGAAACGTAAGCTTTTACATTCAAGACCTGTCCACAGTAGTTGTATTAAATGTATAAATTCAGATCGCTGTGTGTGTAAATGTAATTATCGATTTTCTGTGAGATCTTGTGCAAGAAAATTAAGTCAACCAAATATGAAACGATTTAGAAGAGATCGCGAGCCTTCTAGATTACCTTTGAAGCGAATAATATTAGCTATGAGAAAGAGGAAAAATAGACCACTTCTAAAGCGTTACTTGCTAATGTCTGCACCCAAGTCTTCTACTTTAAACAAACTAGTGGGCAATTTCAAGGAATATTGTTTTCAATTTATGCATACGCAACATACATTTCTTCAGTCATTTGCATATATTAGACCATCCGTTAATTTAGTTCAGAGAAAGCATAAAATTAGAAAACATTCTTTATGCAATCAATCAATAAACAAAAATAGCAGTTTTCTCTGTCAGTATAACATATGTGAAAATAAACTGTTGTTGTCAGGAGATATTGAATTAAATCCTGGTCCTGTTAAAAATACCAACATTGTTCTGCCATCAAATATAGTGTTAGCACAAAGGCTAAGACGCTATCAGTTAATACCATGTGATGTTGGTGGGGGTGGCGACTGTTTCTTTCGAGCGGTGTCTCATCAGTTATATGGTGACCCTGAGCGCCATTTAGAAGTTAGAGCAGTCGGTATTGCATATTTGCGAGACAATCCTCAGAGATTCATTGAAAGTAATACTGAAAACTCCTTGTTAGATTATCTCAATACTATGTTTTTTTAAACAGAATAGCTATATATAGCTACCTATAAATTTGCCAAATGATGATAAATTGTTTGGGCCAAATGATCATAAAATGATCATAAAATGATCATAAAATGATCATAAAATGATCATAAATCATTTGGAAAAATGTAGTTTTTCCTTCAATAATGCTGGTGGTATAACTAAAACCCTGTCTTTCGATTTTTTACGTGATGAGCAACATGCAGTCCGCCCGTGCAAATTCTACTAGGACTTGACTACATACATGGAAACCTTATAGTCCGAGTACGCCAAAAATAGCACGAGTGCTGGGTAACACTGTTGCGACATAATCAAGATGAGACGTTTGTCATGTGTCAAGTCGTGTATTTATTTGACGACCTCTAGGTATAGCATTTCATTTTGAACTTAGGTTTGGTTGTGAGCGCTATAGAAGTGCGTGGCTGCGTGCCTTGCATGGAAATGTTGTACGTAGATATTACAGTGTTATGCTGTGGCTTTATTTATTCATTTGGCTATAGTTGTCTATATTGCTTGATGAATTGTTGGCTTGTAAGGCGTCAGTGAAGTGCCAGTTTGAATGTCATGGGAAGAATATTAAAGTCTCGCTATTCACAGCCGAATGTTTTATGCAATGTTTTCCAGCACGGAATTTGGTTTCATTGAAAGGCTCAACAGTGGCCGGTAAGTAAGATCATGCAGTCTTTTGTAGGCCGAAATTAGCGTGATAATTGTGGAGGGGATGCGTATTCATACATTCTCTTGTGCCCAACGGATTTCTTAATCTGTCGGACAGTCGGACAGATTGGTAGAATGAAAATATATGCTTCCCCCTTAATTTTCGAATCTAATTTCGGTCCTGCTTTTGTCAATATAAAGTAGCCACGTTTGAGATCTACATAATTTGTTTCGAACATTTTGTAAATTTGAAAGCTTAGTTTGTATCTATAATCTATTATCGCATGCAGTCCTCTATAGAAAGTTCATACCTCGCACGATTGTCTATGCATGCATGCAGTAGAGATAAAGTTTCATATGGGGTGTTGAAAATTGATAAAGTGGATTAACTCATAAGAATGTGAATATAATAGTATCACAAGAGCAACAGCATAAAATGCCTTACCCCTGCAGTCAAATTACTGTCATTGGGATTGAATAAGCACGGTTTCTATAAAACTAAATTGTAAAGCGTATTGAAAAAACTATGATTATTTGGCATGCATGCATGAGATTCGATTGTGCTTGTTTGCGCACCCGTGGCTTAGCAAATTGATCAGGCATTTAAATTATAAGAGTGGGTTTATTTCTAAAGGTCTTCTTTTTTCATATATACACCCTTATGCTGGTATTCATCATTGGTTAGGCATTTCAGCTACTTATTTGTGTTATCTGTGGTATGTTGTTGTTTAGTATACTTGAACATGCAGTATCCTATTAATTAAAAGAATACATGCATCAACAGCTGTGAGCAAACCTAGTGCATATATATATATATATATATATATATATATATATATATATATATATATATATATATATATATATATATATATATATATATATATATCCACATGTAATATACACGCAGTATCAAAAAAGTGCAAACACTATATAGTTTCTATAGAATAAGTAGATCTTTGTCCTTCGGATAACACAAATTGAGTTATAATGCAAATTAGGAATATTATATAACTTCGGCTACGAATGGCTCAGCTGGCCGCAGAGCAAAGGCGAGAGTGCTTATCGTGTCAAATTACGCGAAAACACGCAGTGTTCAATAAAAATATTATTGTGTGTTTATGTACACAATTTACTTTGCTTGCATATGTTTTCGTTAGTAACACTAACCCTACACCGTTACCGTAACCGTAGCATGATCAATTGTGTTTTACGCGCCCTCCATGGCCTTCGTTTGGTCTGTTTTAAAATTTTGCAAATATCTGATTTCAAAAAGGTTTGTAGTTTTTATACACCCTATGTACAATAAGGCTTAAGTCGCTTACTCGCTGCGTTAACAAATTTGTGCTGAGTTAACTCGTGCTGAGTTAACAAATTGATTCAGGGTTTGTGATATTTTCTGTGGAATATCTCCCTGGCAGCGCAAGTTTCTAATGTGTGCATATGGTTTTCAGGTTATGGTTTTCAAGTTATTGAACTGCCTCTTGATTGCTAACTTAGACAATATAGTTTTCGATTTTTTGTGCCCAATTCCAGTTGGAAGTATTTCATATATAAGCATGCAATATTTTCTCAAAGCCGTAGGAAACAAGTGCAAATAAATTGGAGCAGAATAAATTTTTGCATATGCTCGTAAGTGCCCTTTTTTTAGAAAGTGATATGAATTCAAGGAGTTTCTTTGCTAAGATTCTCTTCAGAGGCCGGTTGTATGAAAACTGGATAGCGCTATCCACCGGATAGTGATTTTTTCAACGGTTCTAAAAATGCTTGAAAAGCAATAAAATTTCAGCTTTGAAATTTCAGCTTATTAAAGAGTATATCCTTTTTTCGGCATACTGTAAGATTTAATTAATCAAAGTTAACGGGCGATTTTAAAGCGATTCAAAAAACCACTATCCGGTGGATAGCGCTTTACAACCGGCCTTGGAAGTCTTCGATAGTTTCGTTTTATATAATTTTTACCTAAATTAAACCAGTGATTAAACTGTTGCTTATTTCAACCGCTGCGAGTGTTAGCATTGTATGACTGTCAATCACAATGCATGTGTAATAAGTAACTAGCTTTTTCTTAAACGCACTTTTGAGTTGAGGATTTTCACCTTGTTGAAGCATTTGATGAAAATTATATGCGTGTAATGTGGTTTAGTGCGCTTGTACATAGTTATAACGTGATTCGGTATTCTTAATCTCGCATGGGCTGTGTCTGTACACTTGCACACGAAAATATATTCCCTTTTCATGCGTTCTTTGTTTCAGAGTGAAATGTCCATGATTGCATCAGCGAATTTGCCATTAAAACTTGCGTCGGATTTCTTAATTGGTGACATTTATTTTTAGTCCGTCTACGCGGCATGCCCTATACATTGGAATTCTGCGCGTACAGCTGAATTATATACATTGCAGCCGGTTTGCATTCCCAAATTCTGTGGTGTAGGCGCCTTTCAATGACTGAAAGTGAAAAGCAATGTGTTCATGCACGGTTTTCATTTATAGTCGCTGCCGGGTTTCTCGATCAGAACTCAGAAGTATTCGGATTGGTAAATTTTCCGATGCACATTATGTTCCATTGTGCATGGCAGCAATATAGGTAATAAACATTGGCGGTGTATAACTGCATGAATGTAAAAATGATGAATGCCAAAAATAGGCTGGATTTATATTGCAATTATATACACTCGCATGTGCATGTCAAGATTGATTCGCGCCAAAAATTTGAAAGTGGCGCGAATTATAGAATTCAAAAAATGGCGCGAATAGAATTTAAAAACGGCGCGCTTATATAGCTATAATGGCGCAGTGTATACATGAGTAATTGAATATATTTGAAGTTATATGTACCAATTCATATAGCATATGAAATTTTTTACTCTAGATGGTTGTTATAATTAATAGCTAATTCTGATATCGAAAGGAGGGAATAAATGTTTCGCTACGATTTGAACATGCTACATATAAATGCAAGATATAAGATGTAAGTTGAATTGGTGTCCGTCACAAAGACATATCGTAACATATGCAAAGGAAAGATGTATTGATTGAAACATTTGTATTCCAATGGTTATGATTCGATTTATTGAAAATTCCAGTACGGTCAATCGATTAGCAATTGGGATAGTTCAGTGTTAATACAATGCAAATTTGCTGGTAAACTCGTATCATATCGTTCTTAAAGTTCTTATATTTTCCATACCTTATCTAGCTGATTTCCCTCTTCAAATCTTTCTTAACGTTTCGTTTTGAACGTTTATCTGTTTCTTCTGCAGGCTTTTCTTCTGTCTGTCTTCTAGCGTTGCTGGTTGCAAGTGCGCTTGGAAATGGTGATCGCGCAGTTTTTAATGCACCATTGCTGTAATACGATATTTCTAGTTAGTCATTTGGCGCCAAAAAAGTGCGCCAATTATTCATTCAAATAGTAATCCTCGGATAGAGGCCTCTAAACGTCGCAGTAAAATTTCTTACTATTTGAGACAAGAAACATTTTAAGGCAACATGCATGACAAGTAATGATATATCGTACAAGTGATTTAAAAAATGTTGAATAGCTTTGCTGTATCCTTTAGTGTAAATAGATATTCACGAGTTAACATGAGCTCTCCTATTTTAATACCGGTATTATTATGACTAATTTGGCTCACTTAAAACGCATGTTGCATTTATTTTTTTAATGTTTAACGGTGAATTTATCGTGCATGCAAATAATAATTACAGAACAAGACAAGAACATGCAATAGTTGGCTAATACTAAGTTCTAGGATCTTATTCTATTTCTTACTGGGAATAAAACGGTAAAAAATTTTATAAAATGATTCTCAGTTTTAAGACAAATACATTGTTTTATTTTTTTCAGGCAAAGGAATATTTCATTACCTAAGAACAACCACAGTTCTCTGCTCATTTTGCTGTGGGGAGTCTGCATCACCAATAACGAAGGGCGAGTATTTAGAGGTGAGAGACAAGTAGCGTTAGGAAAAAATATCTTTGAATAAAAGCTATGTTACGCGGTGCAATTTTTCTTGCAACTTGCATTGCAATTCTACTTTTAAGAGATGTAAATTAGTGAAGAGTCTTAAATTAGTAAGTGTAAGAAACGCCACGAAGTGTAATAAAGACAAAAGTTCGGTAGTTGCCAAATTTACATCTCTCAAAAGAAGAATTGCATTGCAAGTTGCAAGAAAAAAATTGCACCGTGCATGTAACATGGCCTTAACATCATGTGTGGATTTTCGTGAGCCTGCATGATTCACAGTAGTCGTAATTCGTCGGCTACCTATGCATGGTATTCTTATGCGGCAGACAAAGCATTAACCCACTTGTTAATATTGTTATTCGACCTATCGTTAACAGAGATCCCGAAATTCTACTAGATACTCAATCGTGCATTATTAGTTATAAGTATACTTAATACTTGTTAAATTCTTGAATAATTAATGAAGTTTATACCCAACCAAATTTTGTGAATTAGGTCATATCACACGCTGTATACACCATACAATTAAGATGAAAAATACAACCACTAGTGTGTGGAACTGATTTGCATATTTATTAAAGCATCTCAAAGCAGCAATGAAATGGGCATTTGAAAATTTGTAAGCATGGGAGTATAGCGTAAATTAATTAGTTTTCTTTTACGGTTTAAAAGTTTCTTTTGTCCTCCTATCAGGGGAGTAACTATATAAAACGATAATTGGGGGCAGGTGAATATTCAATGTAAGCTATTGCACTTACAAAAGAAATCCGTCGGCTATATAAATTTTCACCCCACCCCCAATTAACGTTCTAATTGCGCCACTGCCTCCATGCACCATGCATGTGTATATTAGCTATTATGATAAACCCAATTGAAAGCAAGACGCTTTATTTGAATGCCTCAACCTAATAACTATGCTATTTACACACTATTGCGTTGATCATGCATTCAAATCAACAAAGGCTTCATTTCAATAGGGGGGACTTTTTTTTTGACTCACCCTGTATATCTACTTATTGATATTAGTTTCACTACATGTATTTGTCACTTTTTTATTGTAGAATGTCTGTCAAGAAAAGTAAAATTAAAGCCGTTGTCTATGGTAATGCCTCCATATTGTCAGGAAAGCAATTTACTGACGCTGTCAACAGAACACTGAGTTCATTGGTTTTTGTCATTTCCATACAACTCAATCCAAGGAGAATTTTCGTCTTCCCAGAAGCGGCATGCGCCAGGCAGAGTATAAACAACATTTATAAATGATGAGTTGCCAAACTGGTCACAGTTACTGTTTTCGGCAGAGACTTTAACGTAGAGAGACTCGTGTTCTTTGATGCTGATCCGGTGTCGTCGGCGTAAATGATCTGAGATTCTTGAAACTGGAATATTGTAATATCGACAGCCAGGTACATGGCAGGTTCTTCTTGCGTGACGGTCAGCTGAGGATTTTGTGCAAGTCCTTCTTATGGCACTTGGGGTTTGGTATTTTTGATGCTGCGCCATGGTAATAGACGGATGAACTCTTTTAAGATGCCTGTCAAGTCGTTTAAAGAACAATCCATGTTGTGTACAGCCCTCCACTCGACAAACGCCGCTCTGAGGCATGCTGTGTTACAGTATTGCTTGTGTTTATTATTAATGGTGATTATTCGTTCAATGTTTTGCAAGATGTATAGCTGTCTATCATATGACTCAGAATTCGAATCGACGAACGTTTTGGCGGGCTTTGTTTGTAAATTTTCCCGCGCCTTATTGTGGTCATTAAAATTCCTTTTCTGATATAGAATTACAAATCTGATGTTCAATCATTTAAATTTTTTTGCAACAAAACATTCCACAAAGCATTCCAAAGTTGATGAAATTGCAAAATCAAGTTTCTGTCATATTTCTGTCAGTATCATCAAATTTATGACATACCTGTGGTCTGATTATTTCTTCAACGTTTCACGAGATGTACAGAATGTCCGCAAAAAAGAACCCTTTTCAAGTTTTGTCAGAGTTTGAATGCTTTATTTATGCCAAACAATTGCAGCTGTTGTGTAAAAATTGGAAAACTGAACCATAGACCTTACCATATAGTGATCAGGCGCGTTGAATTTCGAGCCAAAGCTTGATGGGGTCAGGGTTTCCACAATATTGACAACCACAAGGGAGGGAGGGATCTGTGTTAGTAAGATATATTATGCAATCTTTTCAAAAGTTCTTTATTGCTTTTTTTTGTCATTTCTATCTCCCTATGAGGACGGTCATATGCAAATAAGTTGTGGATGGGGTACATTTTTCCTGTAACATATAGCTGTGATATTTTCTACCAGTACACTTATTTTATTGCATTATACTCTAAAGGCAGAAATAAATCAACGCAGCTTTTGGCGGGCTCTCTTCATACATTTTCCCAAGCCGAATTTGGTAGTCCAGATTGCTCTACTAATATGTTCGAAATTACAAAAGGCTCTCCTTCAATGTTAATTGCCAAAGAGCATTCCAAAGGTGGAAAATTTGAAATCAAGTATTTCTGTCAACATCACCATATTTACGAGTCAAGGTTATAGTGGACATACCAAATCTAAAGCATGGGGTATATAATAGAAGATTTATTTTTTTTTTGTGGCTTGCATGCATGCGTATCACTGTTTGTCAGAATAAAGATAATAATTTATTCTCGAATCTGCCGTTTTAAATACCTCGTAAAATTCGTCGTAAATATTCTCTTTCAATGGCTCAGAGCATTTTTTTGTTTACATTCATAAAATTGTAGTTATAAAACCTAGCATTACTATCCCAAAAATCAGACCAACAGTGATTCGTAACAACCTATGCATGTGATGCAAAAAGTGCCCTAATTGTGCTCCCATATGTGGGAGACGAAACATGCAAGGTAAATTTCACCACACATATATCTTCAGTTGTAAGCGTTCGCCTAATAAGAGTGTCGACAGAAAGATTAATTATATACCTAATTAAAATTTTTTTCATCACTCGGAGTTTCATCTGCTGCGCTTACACAGTACAACTTAAACAGGGAAAAGCGGGCACGTTTGTTTTCTCAATCAAATTCTGAAATGGAGGACTTGAAAAATCAGTTCTGTGATTCGTGATTTTCATCGCATTTAGAATTGACCGTGTCTCGCACGCTCGGTGACGGTTTGATGAGAAACCTGCTGGGCAGAATTACTTGTGTTAATATGACCTTCAGAATGACATTGTGAACCCCACATAGGATGTGCACGGATCAGCCTTCAGTTTTGGTCAAATATTGATTATTCATTATACAGGGTGTATCAAAAAAAAGGTAATCCAACTTCAACAAGCTATTGTACGTGAACTACTCAGTGTATGAGCGAATTTTTTTCATATTCAGAAAGATCAGGCTTTTAACTATCGGTTGACATGTTTTTAATACCAAATGGTGAAAAAGTGAGCACATACGAGGCTGATAAAAAATGTTAGTCGCAATCGCATATTTTCACCTTTGAGCCTAATTAAAGCAGTGCATAACAAAAGAAAAAAACAATTAATCATGAACATGTCACAGCTTGCACCGGTTTTATGCCGCATTGCTTGGAATGTTCTCCTTATTCCTACTTAATATGCATATGCGGGTAGTTTATTCAAAAGCAAATTCTTCAATTAAGTCCCAAAGAGAGTTAATTTTCAATGGTTTCAGTCCCAACTCTCAGAGGTGAAAATATGCGATTTCGACTAACACTTTTTATCAGCCTCCTATTTGCTCATTTTTTCACCATTTGGTATCAAAAACATGTCATTCGATAGTTAAAAGCATAACCTTTCGGAATGTGAAAAAAAATTCGTTAATAGAATGAGTAGTTCACGTACAATAGCGCACCAAAGTTGGATTACCTTTTTTTGATACACCCTGTATACGAATATTTGGGTTGATTTGAAGTTTTATGAGTTGGGCAATATCCTTGTATTAAGAGTACTCAGTTCGTTCACATTCAATGCAATGTTTCCTCGGTATAGATTGTCGATATTAAAACATGCATGCAGTACGGAATTGGTCATGTTTAATTAAATTGGTATGCGTATATATAACATTCTTTGTTCGGTCCTTACCCGCGTCCATGGATAATCAAATGCAACACTGTCTTTCTAAGGTAGATGGTCCTGAAGCCATAAAAGATTTCTCAACCCTACTCAGATGTTAATTTCCTCTTCCAAACAGCGTTTTCATTTCGCGGAGATGAAATCTGGTTATTCCACATTCCGAGTTCCGTCGCAATCCTAAGTTGGCCCGGTTTGTCACAACACATATATTTATCCGAACAACACCATGCATACACTTGAGTCTTTTCAACTGTACAACTTTGAAAGCATTTATTCAATTTTAAAAGTTCGGCAAGCAGTCAAGTACATCAGAAATCATGCTTACAGATTTTGTTTATAAGAAAAGGGCAATCTTTTTGTGTTGAGAATACTTTGCATATTCAAGGCTATTGACTAGTATTGTAACTTCCCAGGGCCTGTGACATTTTTTTCAGTGCAGGACCCCTAATCTTTCCTCTCCGGCCCAGCGAAGCAAATTTGCCATTCCCTGCGATCGGTTAAAAAATTATTGAAATAAATCGAGATGTTTATCATAATTCCAAAAATTGCCTTTCCTTTAAAGGTTTAAAAATCAAAACGTGCATAATGTACATGTACATCAATTGGAACTGTCACTGGACACATGCAGTTTTAACGATATTTTACTTTTGCGTCCTTCTGGCTTTTAGTACAACTGAGTCATGCGCGGCCTTGAGTAGATGCTCTTCTGCCATATGGGAAATCCGTATTATCATTTCCAATAGCGGCGGAATATGAGTTATATTGGGGGGGGGGGGGGGGGTTGTGTACCGGGCTAAAACCCAATTTGCAAAAGAGAATCGCCGCCTCTTGTAAATTCCGTTCCCTCATTTACGTTCCCTTATTGCCCCTGACAAGTCCATTTCGGCAATTCTGAATGGAATTTATCCTTTATATAGAGTCTTTAAAATATATTATGAAAGCGCTTTTTCTAAACATCCATGCCCAGGGGTAATTATATCTGAAATATTGCAGGGGCTTAGGTCTCCCCTGACACTTCTTTTCTCGGTGTTAAAAATTTTAATTGATGAAAAGTCATGTTTAATATATTATATCTAGTTCTAGTAATATTCATAATAATTTTTGTTCATTTGTTACACAGTCTGCAGAAAATTTTACACCTTCGAACTTCTTCAGGAAAACAGACACTCTAAAAGCATATATGGACATTTAGCCGGAAAGTTTGAAAACTGTTCATTCCGCTTTCCGAGTTTCCGTCGCCATCCTAAGTTGGCCTGGTTTGCCACAACAATTTTTACATTCATGGCATGCGATCAGTGATCTCTAAATCTTAATTTGCAAAACTTTGACATCAATTGTGAAGTACTTCTAGTACATATAAAAGCTTTTCGCAGGATAAGTTCATGAAGATTTTGCGATAATTTTCTGTTTGAAATCGCAAATATTTTAGTTCTATTTGATGACTAATTACGTATGAATTGGCGTATGACCTATACTTATGACCTATACTATAGCATAGTATAGGTCATAAGACTAATTACATATTGACTGGCATATACTATAGCTATATACTTAGTTTTACTGCTATATAATTTATGGAATACGGTTAAATCAGTAAATTGAAACAATCGCACATTGAATGTAAAATAGGGAAAGGAACCGGAATCTTTTGTATTTGCCACACAATTTGAAGACTACTCAGACTCCGGATTACTCAGACAGTATACAACTTGTGTCGATGAAAAACACGCAAATAATTTGCTGCACGCCTAAACAATTTGCCGTAATTCTACACACATCAACTTATATGCTTTTAACAGAACGATGAAATGTTCTGCCAGCGACGTAATATCACCTTGGCCTGATTCAGTGCCAAAACTGTGGGCCGTGTTTTAAACAAACACTTAAGTATGAAACTGATAATTACTAGCGTAGTCTGCAAAAATATTAAAGCCTGGCGTCTCTACAATGTTTTTCAGAATAGCTTATAATAATTGTACGGTATAGTCGCTATAAAGTCAAGCCAGTCCGCGACTCCGCGTGGACGTTTTGTAAAAAACCTCAGTCTTTTGACTAACGAATCCGTAAAGGTAACTTGCTATAGTACGCCTTTATGTCACATTGTTTTTTAACTCCACCTTTGTTTAACCTAGAGAATTTCCGTGATTTAAATTCACTTGCAAGGGTACAAGGTTTAGACGGTTATAGCTATTATATGCGTCGGCGCGTCTTATATATAATTATTGACTGAAATATATTCAGTCAATAATTCTTTATTTATTAATTTATTAAAAAGTCTTTATTTATTAATTATTACGAGTTTGCCGGCAGCATGGGATTTAATGTTCTTGGTGTATATTAAATTAAAATCGTGCATGCTGTAGTATAGCTATCCATGCAGGAATAAATCTGATATTCTACTCAGCTTACTACATTTTTAGACATGACCGGGCCCATTTCACATTCACGTCCTGCAATTCAGACGAATTCCGCAATCCGCCACACCGCCACAAGTTGGCCTGATTTGCCACAACATACTTGAGCTTAAAAAATAATCATATTGGCGTTAACTTTATAGAGGACAGGAATGTGTATACTGATAATGTTATTGCGTTTGTACAATTTTTTTGTTAACAATTAAGCTCCTCATTTTAGCAAATCGGTTGTTATGGGGGCTAGTAAAGTAATAGATTAAAATCATAATATTCTTGTACGTTTGCATGTTGACATCAAATAAGTAAATTAGCTTGTAGGTACACCACGTAAGTATTTAATACTGCAAAGCTTTCAGTCCGTTAACCCGGGCCTTCATCAGTGCAATTATACCTGAAAACCAGGGAGCAGCGTGGCAGCGTCTTCAAACAACTTAGCATCGCCCGCGCGGGCGTAGCGGACGTAATGGAGAATCGCCTTTAAAGCCCTAATTCCACGGGCTAAATT